CAATGGATCTCGACTCCAAAGTGAGTTAGATCCAAAGGAAGCTCACAGGCTTGAGGTGTCATGAGGGATGGTACTTCGTCTAACAGTTTCCAAAAAGCATAACTTTTTTCGTGCTTTGCTTCACTCTGGCTTGTTTGCTGCCAGCTGAAAGTTCGATCCTCATATGAAGCCTTCTGGGGAACCTCTCACGGGCTTCGCGTCAATGAACTTGACCTGCCTTCTGGACAAAAGTCTGAACTCAGTCGCGCAGCCACTGTAAGCTTCACGCGTATGAACTTTAACAGAGCGGCAACATTGCACCAATGCAGCGCGGCTAAATTTTGCCCAAGCTTGAACTTTTCAACAGCTACCAAAGAGCTATTGACAGCTCGAGTTGCATGCCTTTCTCACGACTGCACATGCAAAAACGACTGACGGTCAGAGGGGCCCTTACAAACGTTAGAGGAATCACTCACTGAATGCTAATCACTTCTCAATGTGAACTTGGACCGGTTTGCTCAGTCAGATCATCCGAATGGAGGGCCAGGTTCGTAAGCCGATAGAGGATGCAGTGCGATGAGAATAACATGGTTCCAGTGTTGTGCGATTTGGACCTTTTGTTGCACCAATACGCAGCCCTGTTCAAGCCATCTCGAGGTGGTGCAAGATGGCCGCAGAAACCTCCGAATTTGATCAACTTCAGATCACACAGGCAGCTGGGTGGATACACAGCTCCAGGACTGACGAGAACATTTCAACTTATACTTTTGGGGGACAAGCAGACTTCTCTGAGACACGCGGTGTAAAACTGACTTCGCAAACAGGGAAGACCTAGGCACCATTGGTCTACTTTGGATCAGAACCATGCATAGAGGTGCAGTCGTGGTCAAAGATTATGCACCAGAAGAACAACAAAGCGTGCAAATTGAGGCCTACAGTGTTTGTCTTTGCACTCCTGGAAGACTGTATGCTATATATTTATATTCTCAACAACTCCAGTCTGGTGTCAGTCCGTGGATTTATATACTAGATACAAGGTGGTTTGCTCTACAACTTGTACATTGTGCACACAGGCTATTCTTGAAGGTTCTTGCATACCACTAAGGTTTTGATTGGAACCAACAGCCAGCTATTTGGCTTTGTGATTCTGTATGTTTATCCCTCCCGTCTATGTGTCGAGCTTCCTGCTGCACGATTCACATTCAATATTCAACCTGTTGTCAGGTGGCGGTGACTTGTTGGAGACCCGTGCGGCCTCAGTGGCGCCCAAGGTGGTTTGGTCTCTTGTATATTATTTGTGACAGGAATCTGGTTCTTTCGGAGGAGAGCCACATTTCCGTTGAGGCAAGCGATCATTTTGGAAGACTTCCAACTCTTGATGGTTACAGCAGCATTGCCCTCTTGCTTTCGTCTTTTGTTGGTAATTATATAGTAGGATGAGTGCATGTGGGATAGGTGTGCCCAGGTGTCTTTGGTCAGAGTTGGCTGAGCTAGATAGGGATTTGGGTCCTACGAAGGCCGGACTGCTTTAAAGGCTTAGGCTTAGGAGTACTTAGGTCGCTCACATTCTTGGCATGTGGTGATTCCTTGAGCCACTGCCTGACGCTGGACATGCCCTGGAATCCTTTGGATCTCCGAGGAGCAAGCCTGAAGGCGGGGAGGCTACTTAGTGTGCTTCGAGCACAGTGATTTTAACATGTTCATTCACTGTATTTCACTGTCATAGCGTACAAGCTATTATTTCCGGATCTGTCCCTGAGAAACGCACTGCGCGAATTGGTGACTTTGGTAAGCAGCAGCAATGGGAGATGGCTGTCCAAGTCATGCAAGATTTGCGAAGTGAGTTGCTCGATTGCGCGGAAGTTAATGGCCATAATTGTTGGGCCCGTTCTATTGCATTGCACTAGACTAGATGTGATCAAGCGCGCAAATGAAAGCAAACGTACAAGTAATTATCATATTGCTTGTTAAATTCATTGGTGACAGTGAGGGATACAACGATGTACTGTAATTCCTATGCAGGTTATTGCAACCAAGTACTTTCACCTACAGCTCGCTGGCCACCGTTTCTTGGGTGCAGGCATGTTGTCCAGGAGACAATGTGAGGTGAGTGAGGTGTTCAAAGAACCCAGGCTCATGATTTTAATGATTGTAGCTCCCTTTTGTTCAGCGCGTTATACAATTAATAAGATAGTGATCATTGAATCCTGGATTCTGCTTGGATGCTGAGATCCAGCCACTAGTAGAGACCGTCAGAGACCTGTTTGAAGAAGTTTTCAGATACAGGCAAGTCAGGTCAGGTCCCTTTGCTGCCAGCACGATAAGAATAGTAAGAACGAGGGCAACAACAACAGCGATGGGCAGTTGACGACGAGTTGACGAGGACGACGAAGAAGACGAAGACCAAAGACAGCAATGACAACCTTGGCAACCCGAACCAAAGCATTTCCATCTCAGAGTACTGCAATTGCATGGAAAAGCATGCTACCAGTGCTAGTGTCACTGTATACTGTAGAATTGGATTGACTTGAATTGACACTGAGCTTGCATGAAGCGCTGCAAAAAGATAAGATGTTGCATCCGAGATGACGTACTGTCACAAAAGAACCTCATGTGGTGCAAGGCACTAGGAGTTTTGGACAGAGGAAGGGTCACTGAAGGAGATGCCAAGCATCTCAGGATATCTCAGGATTCCGTGGTAGCTGTCCATTCTGAAGTGTTCCGGGTGCAACCAAGGCCTTCGTCAGAAGTGCACAGTGGGAAAGACCTCTCGAACTGCTTGGAGAGATGCACAGAGAGAAAGTTCGGCCAGATATTCACTTCTTCAGCACACTCATTTCGGCCTGTGGGGTTGGGCAGGAGCGCTGCTTGGCACAGCATTACCCCATCGAAATCAGATGTGTATCGGAGTAATTCCCCACATTGTCCACTTGCGTTGGCATGCGATGGGTTTATGTTGTTTCTTATGGTTTCTTCAGGATTGGATGGCATCGTTGGCCCTTTTTTCCGACCTGAAGGCTGAGTCTTTGTGAATCCATTCTTTCAAGACCCGCTGTGTGTGAAGTCCAGGCCAGGAGTCTTCAACCAAGTCTGGTGGGCTACAATGCGACCTTGAACGCTTGCTCCAAAGGAGAGCATGCATCCGCATGCATTAATGTCGCACTTGTTGCAGATATGTTCGGTCCTTTGGCAGCTCTTAATTACTAACTTTTTTCGAGCCTTGCTTGCCAGACGATTTGCAATGTGTTTGTTTTTTTCTCCAAACAGTTTGGTCATAGTAGGTTTTTTTGTGATAGGGGTCAAGGCCGGGTGTTTCATCGAGGTGCTCGCCGGCTAATTCGCTGCTACTAGTATTTATGCTATCATCGAAGCGCATTTCGACTGCGCAGACTCACAAAAACTCTTTGGCTGGGCGGGTGCTTTCCTCGACTGCGCTCTCGTTGTGGTGCTGTGCACATTTTGGGACTTGGTGGTCACTATTCGTGGCAAGCACAAAGGAAACCTCGTGCTTTGGTGGTACTTTTCGTGGCAGGTGCAGGAGATCGGAGTGGTTTTACTTCGATGCGCAGATTTCGTGGCAGGTGCAGCGCTTTGGACATGGTGGTGGTCTTCGGCGCGCGCTCTGATTTCGTGGGAGGTGCAATGAATCGTGACCTTTGGACACGTGGCATGCTTGTGCTTTCACTCATGTGTAAGTCTCGTATGTGCGATCTCATATGTGCGCTTTCGTATTTGTGGTCTCATGTGTTTCCCCTCATGTGCGCGTTCAGGCTCTTATATCTGTGCTTTCAGATGCGCTGTCTGGTGTTGTGCTGTCACGTCATGCGTATCAGACAAGTGTGTGCTGTGACTTGTGTGTTCTTATTTGTGTGCTCCCATATATGTGCCCTCATATGTGTGTTCTCATGTGTGTGCTCTCATGTGCTCTCATATGTGTGCTCTCTTATGTGTGCCAGTATTTGGTTGCCGTGGTTCTCTGAGCACTGTTTGGGACCTCTTGCCAGGATAGTTGTTCCATCCTCTTTCGGTTTTCTTGATCGCAGGATATGAGTGGGAGGCAGCAGTTCATTTGCTTAGCAACATGCCGTGTCAAAAGATTCGACCCGATCGGATGACACTCACAATTTGCATCACAGCCCTTGGCAAATCGTCGCTGTGGCAAGAATCGCTACGGCTGTTTGAGCAGATGCAGCTGGGAATGACTGCTGACTTGGTGAGCATGAGCTCAGTGATCAATGCATGTGGCAATGGTATGAACTGGCAACTGTCCCTGATCCTCTTGGACGATTTGAAGATCTATGACCTCCGCCCTAATGTGACAACATATGGAGCTGCTATTGCAGCTTGTGAGAGTGGCAGCGCATGGTCAAGAGCAGTGGAACTGTTGGGGCGAATGCAGAGAGATCAATGCACTCCCAACGCGATAGTTATAGGGGCGGCCCTAGCCGCGTGTCAGACCAGCATGCAAGTGAGCCAGGCGGCAAAGCTGATGCAGAAATTTAGGCTATCTCCAACGACCAAACTTTCAGGCAGAAGCTTCGCGGACAGCTTGGAAGGTGGGTGTTTGCAGCAGGGAACAGATCTAGAGTAACTTCAAGACTTCAAGAGCACTCCCAAACCTGAACTCGTCGGTAGTTTTACTGTACATGAATGTTGGGCTGCACTGATCTCGGAAGCAGCTTGCTGTTGTGCACTTTTCTTGGCTTTACACCATTTCGGTTTGTTGGAGTTGGTGTTATGCCCCTCCGCCCGGGTCCGGCGCCCCCAACTTCAAGTGATTGGGCTGCAGTCTGCCGAATGCAGAGAGGCTCCCCCTCATCTGCCGAATGGTGCAAATGGATGCGCATGGTTACAGTGCAGCCTACAGTGCAGGGGCGGCAAGCCGGTCAGTCGCAGCCCTGGTTCGAATCATCGAAGGTGTGCATATGCAGGTTGCGATATTACGTGATATGATATGATCATATGTAATATTCAGAGCCAGTTCTTCTCAAACCAATTTAAACCAATGTATCCACTTCAACCATGCTTGCCAAGTCTAGCATATTGCTTTGGCACCGTTGTCCACAGACAAGCTGACTGTCAATTAAACAGCGCCGCGATCCCGTTTTATGAACACAGTGAACCGCGCTTCACCGCCAGGCTGGCACATCAAAACTGCCTGCCTACATGTCGCACGGAAGCTAGACACGCGAAGCCCTGTGCTTGCGATTGGAAGCCGGCGAAGAGAAACAAGGCCCAAGGCCTCACAATGAGGTGGATTTTAACTGCATCAACCTGAAGCTGCAGCAATCTCCCAATCCTCTCTCCATCAGCTATTGGAAGTCGCGTACCCCAGATGGAAAAGTGGCGTCGTTATCACCAAAGCCGGAGGATCTGAATCCTCCATGCGAAGAGACTCGTGGCGGTTAAGGTAAGTGCAGTAGGTCCTTTTTATGCCTTATTTTTAGTAGTTTAATTCTTTCTTTTAAAAGTATGTGTGTGTGTGTGCCCCTTGTAGTCACAGGGATTCAGTTGAATTGTTTCTTCAGCAGGGGGCCAGGACTCCCTGGCGCGCGTCCTGGCCAACGAAGACCGCGCGCCAGGGAGGTGAAAACGTACCTGCTATTGTTAAACTGTTGATTGGTTGCTGTGGTCCCTTGGTTTGTTTCATGGTGGTTCATGTACCTGATGTTGTTCCAGGAGGTGTTTAGGTTTTCAGGTACTTCATAAAGGGCTAATGCACGTTTCGCCG